TGGACCTGGCGCAGGGTGGGCTGGGGCCTCGGGTAGCGCGGACACACTCGCGCCCACCAGGGGGTGGGTAGAGGACGGGCCTGACCGCCTCGCCCAGGCCGGCACTCCCTGGGGTCCTCTCTCTCGCCCCCACCCAATCGCGCGCTCTAACCTTCACCTCCTTGCCGCCCTGGGGCGGCAGATTTCTCTGCGGAGCAAGGAGGCGGGGGCAGGAGGCTGGGAGGCCGAGAACCAGGGCTGCCCCAAGCCCTGCGCAGATGGCTGAGGCCGCCCAGCCCCACTCCCCGTGCTTCCTGTTTGGTTTCTTTTAGACAAACTTTCTGGCCTTCGGGGAGACGTCCCGGTCGGCAGGATGTGCGCTCAAACTGCGTAGCCGGGCCTCGCCACCTCTGGTGGCCTGCGGAGAGGGGGCTGCGACTAACAGCCGGCAGATCCCAGGGATACTGGGGTCGCTTGGGTGAAAAAGGGACCCTGGTTGTCCCTTGGCCCCAGACTCAGCCTAGGGAAAGAAGGAAAGGAGGGTTTGGGGTGATTAGAAAGCAAGAGCTTCTCGCGGTCTCCTGTGTCTCCTCGGTGAAATGGACCGGCCCCCCCTCAATGTCCTCTCTGGCCCCAGCCTCACAAGAGCCAGCTGTCCTGGCTTCTCTTCTTCCCAGAAGCTGCCGGCTTCAGGATTTGCAGAAGTGGCTGTCCCTTCCTGCTGGTCCACTGCCTGACTGTTCTCTGCAAAGGCCAGGCTCCCACCCTAGGTTCTCCTGGTGCCCTTCTGCGACAAAGAGCGCCCCCAGGGGGAAGGGAGGGACTGCCGAACCCCTCCTCCTCTTCACCCAGTAGTCTTGGGGTATGCTTTATTTTTACTTATGGAGCAAAATATTGGGGGGCATCACCTCCAAAAGAACTTCTTGAGCAATGTGCCTGCACCATTCCAGGCTCTTGGGGAGAAAGCTGAAGACCAAATAAAGTTTCTTGTCCCCAGGGAGCTGACACTTAGGGGGCTAAGGAAGAAGCAAGTGAGCAATCAATAAAGCAAACTATGTAGTATACCAGAAGTTGAGGGGAAAATGTGGAATGTTGGGGTGTTAAGGACAGAGAGAGGGGCTGCCACATTAAATAAGGTGAACCTGGAGGCCTCCCAGAGCAGTTGACTTTGAGCTAAAGCTTTGAAAGGGTGAGCTGTGCGTGGAGCTGTGGAAAGGAGAGGTGCTGCAGAGAATGGCTTGTGCAAAGGACCTGGGGCTGTTGGGTGGAGAAGGGGGAGGGAAAAGGCTGGCTGGGAAGGGAGGGAACCCACAAATTTCACAGACAGGGAAGTGACACTCAGAGGACATCTGTCACCCAGGACACACCCCAGAAATGTGGCTCTGACCTCTAGCCCACCATGCTTCCCCTGTATCTCGGATCTCAGCTGCTCACCCCACCCCAGCACATTGGCCACGCCCCTCCCAGGGCCCAGCCCACCTGCAGCTTACAGGGCAGCAACCCGGGCTTAGTGTCCCTGAGGGTCCCAGTCCCTCCTGTGGTCCCCCTGCCCACCTGCAGCCGTGTACTCAGGTGGCCTCTTTCTCCTGACCCAAAGTGACCCGTGTCGTGGTCCACCTTCTTATGGCCACCCCCTTCGAAACAGCTCATTCTGTACGGGTGTGGAATTCCCTGAAGGGTTTGGTTTGGTCCAGGGAAAACTGAGTCTTTTGCTCTGAAAATAACCATAGCAGCATTATTGTTGAGCATTTACTACAAAACTTGTAGTATTCCCGATGTGCTCTGTGTGTCTGCTCATCTGGGAGATGGGTGTTATTATCATACGCATTTAACAGCTGTGCAAACCAAGGCCCAAAGAGGCAGCAACCCAGGCCCAAAGCCATGCAGTGGGCAGGGGGCAGAGCCAGTGTGTAAGCATAGACCCTTCGCCTGCTCCTGTAGGCGCCAAGCCAGAGCCTGATGTGGAGGAGACCCTCGGCCCTGGAAGGGGTGTGGCCCATCCTGGGCCTTGGAAAAGCTCAGTGACACTGGCGCCTGCCTCTAGGTGCGGCCAGAGGAACAGCTCATCACTGACTTCTGAAAAAAATTGGCTCAGTTTGGCGGAGTGTCCTTTCAGTTCCTTGAAGGCTGGCACAGGGGCGGGGTGCAGGGAGGTGAGGTGCTGCTGCTGCTGCTTCTCCCCAGAGCTGTGGCCACAAGGATGCAGGCTCCAGAATGTCCCCATGATGATGACAGCACAGCTGAGGGCCCTGACACGGTCATCAGGCTGAGCAGCAGGCTGGGGTTGAAAAGGACAGGAATTCCCGATGTGCCCACCCCTGAGAGTGACAGCTGGGACAGGAAAGGCCTTCTGGGTGACTTCTGGGTGGGGATGCCTGGTGTCCCCTCCCCGCTGTCCCTCACACTCTGTTGTCAGCAGGGAGGAAGTATTTATTTTGGCCCCTGAAGCTCTGGAGATGTCTGTGAGGAAAGCTGGGCTTCCTCTGCCTTTTGGAAACGGGAAGGAAGGAAGCAATAGGGACAGGACTTGTCATGGGCGGTGGCAGCTGCTGGCTGTCCTGGGTGGCAAGAGAGGCTTGGAGGCTGGAACCTGGGGGGCCTTGAAGACCACACCCTGCTTTTTTAGACAAGGAAACCGAGTCCTGAAGTCAGGCCCTGCCTTGCCAGTGACGCGGACTCTGGTGCGGCCCCGGCTGTCCTGCAGCTCCCCCTGAGTCAGGACAGACAAACCCTGCGCGCCCAGCTCCGAGCTCATGTTCCTGGATGTGCTTGGAAACGGGGTTGGAAGCCTGCTGCGGACTGGGGAGCGCTCCCCACCCCACGGGCCCCAGCGGTGTCCTCTTCTGCCCCGCCCACCCGTCACCCTGGCTTTCTGAAGCAGCAGGGCCGAGCCCAGCGGTGACATGGAGTGGGGAGAGGGTCCCGGGGGGCCACGGCACCCTGTGCTGGCTCCGCCTCCAGCCTGCTCTCTGCCACACCAGTGTGCCCCCAGCCTGGCCTGGGAACTCCACAGGACCTGTGCCCCAGAGGCAGCTGTGCGGGGCCCTCTGCAGCAGCATGACACCCCCGGGTCTGTGTTTCTAACCACCCCTTCCCGCCTGGCGACCGAGTGGCCCCTGGGACAGCAGGTCGGGGCCAAGGCCTGGCTAGGACATGTGTGATCCTGGACATGGACTCAGGGCCCCCATGACCCCGGGAGATGGGGTCCCATTTGCTGAGCCGCGGTGGTGGGGTCCTGACCCGGGCTTTAGATGCAGCCCTAGACCCCCGCGCTCCTTCTGCCCCCTACTCCGGCCAGGCCCTTCTGAGGCCCCCTCCCTTGCTGCCCGGCACTGCCTGACCCGGACCCCACTTCCAGCTATTCTGTGCCCAGCGATAACAGAACAATGGGCCTGGGCCGCAGCCTCTGCCAGGGCCACGACCCAGGGCAGGCTGGACCCCGGGGCTGGGCTCGCTGGGGCCACCATAAGTGAGGCGGGCAAGGACGAGCTCACCAAAACACCTCTCTGTCTCCCTTACCACCACCCAGGCGCGCGCACACTTGGCAGGCCCTCCCGGAGCAGCCACATTTGCACAGCGGGCTTGGTTTGTATCCCGGCTCTGCCACTTAGCCCAAGGGACACACGAATGTGCCACTGGGCCTCCGTTTTCTCATCTGTACAATGGGAGCAAACGAGGCCATTCTCGTAGGTGGAGGTCACCAGGAGCCTCCGTGTGGACCTGTGCGCAGCTCCCCGCTCTGGCCCCAACACAGATGTGGCAGGGAGCTGGGGACAGGTGTTGGCACCAGCTGGGGAGGGGCGGTTGCTGCCTCGGATCAGCCTGCTTTGGAATGGAAGCCGCTCCCTGGCGGAGGTGCTCAGCACAGTGACCTCCTGAGTCACCGGGATGCTGGCAGCTGGCGGAGGTTCCGGCCCCTTCCTGCCTCCATCCCTCCCTCCCGGCCTTGGTTCTGAAGCTGGTCCTTCTGGGCAGTCTCCTAGACAGGACAGAGCTGCAGTCCCTCCGTTTCTATGGAAACCAGGCTTCCCAGAAGGGGGAGCTGGGGGGAGTCCTCGGGACCTGCAGGGCAGCTCAGCTGTGGCCTGGGCCCAGTTTGGTGGACACTCGTTTATGTTATTGGTTGCTGTGCTTTGTGGGCCCTCGTGGGCAGCTCTCCTTATTCCGCTTCACAACGCTGGGATCTGAGAAGCAGAGGTCTGTTTCGCAGATGAGACACGTAGGCTCAGACAAGTTAAGTGACTTTCCTGAGCTCACAGAGCAGTGACGGGAAAGAGTTGGCTCTGAGCCCAGGTTTCCCCAGTCGTTGAGAATGAGACCCCGGCCCCACCTTGGCATCTTCCCCTGACTTTTGTACCCCTGGTGAGCCCCTCTCTTCCTGGCCTGGCTCTGCCTGGCTGTCCCCAGGAGCTACTTGGAGGTGCGTCCTTCAAGCCCACAGCGGGGGGAGGGCGGGTCGGGCCCGCGGTGCCCCAGCTTGGCTGTGGCAGGGCTCACAGCTCCTCTGCATCACGACTCTGTCCAGACAGAAGTCACAGAAGAGATTAAGTGCTTGCTCACAGGCACACAGCTAGGAAGAGGTAGATCAGGACTAGGGTCTCGACTACCTGGTAAGAAGAAAAGGGCGAAAATAAAGACCAACCACGTGTGGGTGGTGGTAAACGCCTGTAATTCCAGCACTTCGGGCAGCTGAGGCAGAAGGATCACAAGTCTGAGCTCAGTGTGAAGACCCCGGGTTCGAGCCCCTGTACTGCAGAAGAAATAATCAAATGGGAGTGGGCCTCTGAGTCCCACAGCCTGGTGCTGAACGGCAGGAGCTGCGGTGAAGGCCGTATACTTTATGACCCCATTTATGTAACATATTTGAGGAACCCAAAACAAAGCCATAGACCCAGAGCAGACCCAGGCTGCCTGCAGGGGGCGGGGGCAGAGCAAGGGTGTCCGGGGGGTAATAAAACTGCTCTGTCCTGAGTGGGAGGCTCCGGCTTTGCTGTGCTAAATGTGTACAGCTGTGCAACAACACAAACAAAAGGGTCCCTGTTGCTGTGTGTTAAGAAAAAGGCCAGAGGGAGGCCAGGAGAGGAATCGGGGAGGACCGGGTGACACCCGAGGGACAGGCCCAGGGACTGGGCTTGTCGGAGACCCAGGCTAACTGCAGTTCCGGCCTGGATCCCGGAGGGCAGTGGTAGGCGGCTGGGGTGGGGCAGTGCTGTGGGCCCTGGGGGTGCTGTGCCGGGTGGCTCTGTGTACTTTGTGAAGGTGACGGGGTGTAGTAGCAGGGAAGGCACAAGAACAGCACCTGGTCTTGGGAGATGAGCTCAGGGAGACATCTGCTGCCCTTGCCAAACCCGAGCTGTCACACTTGTCCCTGTTTATATGGCTAAAGCCACTGTGTTCACCCCCTCTCCCTGTATTATTTGTTCTGGTGTTTGTTTGTGTGGCTGTTTATTTAAAGCGCTGGAAGGCTTGAGGCACACCTGTAATTCCAGAACTCTGGGAGGCTGAGGCAGGAAGATCCTGAATTTGAGCCCAGCCAGGGCAATTTAGCGACCTAGTGAGACCCTGTCTCAAAAAATAAAAATGGCTGAGCCGAGCTGGGCATGTAACACAGTGAGCAAGGCCTGGGTTCCACCCTCAACATATCAGAAATAAAAAAATAAGAATAAAGTGCCAAACTGGGCTTGCAGGAGGAGGGGACGTGGTGATCTTTGTGCACCTGTCCTGGCAGCCATCATGAGGCTCAGAGGCTGGGATGGGCCTGGGGACGCAGCAATGGGTAGCAGGGTCCCTGGAGGAGGGACAGGCAGCTTCTGAACCTACTGGTGGGGGTCCCCAGGGATCTGCAGAATGAAGGAGCCCTGAGCCCCACCGCACCTGTGTTCTTTTCTAGACTGTGCTCTACGGCCAAGGACCTGCGCAGCTCTGCCCGGGCTGAGCCCGCACACGCTTGGCTCACAGCAGGTGCCCGCGGCTGGGGGTGGGGAGAATGGGAAGGGGCGGGGCCTGGGCCAGGGACCTCCACCAGCACCAGGCTGCTTCCCGGCTTAATGTGTTGGGGGCCACCGCCCCTGTCCCTTCCTGGGATCCTGAGGTTTGGGGGAGGTGTGCTGGAGGTCTGCGGGGATTATCTGGGTGGATCCCAGAGCCCCCCACCCCCGCCAGGCCTAGGCACGTGCCCCCCTCTGAAGCCTTGTGGCCCGGGGCCCAGGCCCCTAGCCGCCCTGCGGCACCCTTTGGGGTGGGCCGACTGGGGCTCTCCAGCCTGGTGACCCGGCCCTGGCCCTGTCCACCCAGCCCCTCTGCACGGGCTCCAGGACACCATGGCGGCCAAGCAGCCCCCGCCTCTCATGAAGAAGCACAGCCAGACGGACCTTGTGAGCCGCCTGAAGACGCGGAAGATCCTGGGCGTGGGCGGGGAGGACGATGACGGAGAAGTGCACCGCTCCAAGGTGGGTCCGGCGACCGCTGGGGAGAGCAGAGAGCTGCCCGTGCGGTGGGTGCCGCTGTAGGAGCTTTATTAACCTTGCTGCCCCAGAGCGGCAGGTTCAGTGATGTATCCACTGTATAGGTGAGGAAACCGAGGCCCAGAGAGGCCAAGCCGCGATCTCAAGTCCACACAGGCAGGTGGCGGGAGCAGGCTCATACCCACGCTCTCGTTCTTAGCCCCCTGATTTTCTTCTCTTACGCTGTGGTGACCAGAGGAGGGAGGAGCAGGGCAGCCGCTTTCGCCAGCAGGAAAACCCAAGCAAGTCCCGGGGCCGCGCCTCTGACCCCGCCTTTTTGTCCACAGATCAGCCAGGTCCTGGGCAATGAGATCAAGTTTGCGGTCAGGGAGCCCCTGGGGCTCAGGTGAGCCCTCTTGACTTGGGGGAGGTGGGGTGGGGCTGTAGGGAGGACAGAGATTGGATTCCGCAGTGTTATCCCCTCCCCAAACCACCGGTCGGGCGCTCGAGGGCGCCTCCTAGGCGCGGGGCTGGCGGGCCAGGCGTGACCTCCCTCTCCGCCTCTCCCCAGGGTCTGGCAGTTCGTGTCTGCCGTGCTGTTCTCCGCCATCGCCGTCATGGTGAGACCCCGCTCCCAGCCCTGGGACCCGGCCCTGGGCGGGGACTGGCGGGACCCTGGACTCAAGAACTGGACTGGGGCTCTGGGTGTGGTTCTGGGGGCCCCTGGATGCCGGTTGGCTTATCTTGGTGCCCACCAGGGACCACCCTAGTCCCCATCTGTGGCCCTGGGAACCGCGGTTTCCTGTCCTGGGGCGGAGGGGTGGGGCTACCGTGTCTGCCCAGCGCTGCCCTGGCCTAGTTGGGGGGAGACCCTCCCCCCGCGCCTTGCCTCCAGCTCCTCTCACTGTGCGCAGGCCCTGGCCTTTCCCGAGCAGCTCTACGACGCGGTCTTCGATGGAGTCGAGGTCACCAGCAAGACCCCCATCCGCCTCTACGGGGGCGCCCTCCTCAGTGAGTGCTGCTGGGGGACCTAGGGAGGAGCGGGTGAGGGGACACAGGTCCTTTGCGGGACCCTGCCTCCCAGGCGACTCTGCTGGGTGACTGCTGCCACCTGGCGGCTGTGGGTGGCACACGCGTGCGGGCGGCAGCCCGTCCGCGTCCTGCGGTGGCTTGGGCGCTGGGGTCCCAGGTTGCACAGCTCAGGCAGGGCGAAAGCCCAGAGTCACAGGACAGATTCAGAGCTCCGCTCCCCTTCTCTGCTAATGGAGACGGAGTCCCAGGGAGGGAAGGGACTGGCTCAGTGTCCCACAGGCAGGGTCTTGCCAGTGACATAAGTGGGCTGCCAGGCTGGATGACACCTCAGAGTGTGGGCTGGGCGAGGAGGCACAGGTCAGAGGAGCAGGCTGTCCCCTCCCGCTGTCCCCACGCAGGCATCTCCCTGATCATGTGGAACGCACTGTACACGGCCGAGAAGGTCATTATCCGGTGGACGCTGCTCACGGAAGCCTGCTACTTCGGGGTCCAGTTTGTGGGTGAGTCCTGTGTGGCCTGAGGGAGGTTGCTGGGGGGCAGGGCAGGACCCTAAATGCAGAGCGCAGAGTGGTGGCCACTGCAGGGCTCCAGCCTGGTGTGGCTTCCTGTGGGGCAAGGCATGGGGATGCGGCCTCCCCTCTGACCTGTCCCTCTGGCCTTTCTCCCTCAGTGGTCACTGCCACGCTGGCTGAGACGGGCCTGGTGTCTCTGGGGACCCTGCTGCTTCTGGTCAGCCGCCTCCTCTTCATGGTCATCAGCATTAACTACTATTACCAAGTCGGCCGGAAACCCAAGAAAGTCTAGCGGGGCAGAGACCTGCACATGCTGGGCCAGGTGGCTCTGGGGCATCTGCTCCCCTTTGACTCCTGGAAGGCAGCCCCCCATCCTGACCCAGTGCCCCCAGGAAGGTAGGGTGAGCCCTTTCCCTCCTGAATGCTCCAGAGGCTGTGGCTCCTGGGCTTCCAGGCTCACAGGCCAGTTGGGGAGATGGGCATCTGCACCCCACTTCCTTACCCCGCACAGGGATACACCCCCTTCCCCTCCACAGGTCCCAACCGGAGAGCAGAGTCCTGGGGTGTGGTCTGAGCCGAGGGCCCCCCTTTCCTCTCGTGAGAGCCTGCAGGCTGCCCCCCAGCACCCCGCAGAGCTGCCCTCTACTCCCAGACAACCCTAGAACATGACCCTGATCCTTGCCCACAGCCTGGGCCAGGTCGTGTGCCAGGCCCTGGAACACCACGCACACGGGCACACGCCCTTCCCAGGCCCGGTGGGGGCTGCAGCTGGCCCGGAGTGGGCGCCTCCCTTGACCTTTCTGCGGGGCTGGCCCACCTGCACAGACTTAACTGTCTCCCCCAGAACCCTCCCCAGCTGGCTGGGTGCGGAGGGGCCTGAGCCCCCTGCCCTGCAAAGGGACACACACAGACAGCGGGGGAGCGGGCTGAGGTGACAGGTAGGTCTGGAGACGAGAAAGGAGAGCAGTTGTGTCCCTGTCCCATCCTCCAAGGCCTGGTTCCCCTCTGGCTGCCTGCCTTCTCCCTGAGGACCTTTCCCCCAGACTCCCCCCAGCCATCCCCAAGGCCTGGCTGGGCCAGGCTTCGTGCCCCTCCACAGAAGGGTAAACAGAAGCGATTCAGCAGCCTCTTCCTGTCACTTCCCCTTCTCCAAGACATGGGAGAAGAGGAGGAGGCCTTCCTGTCCTGTAGGCAGTGACATGCACATGCCTGGCAGGCGTGGCTACGAAGATGAGGAGGGGCCAGGTAGGGCCCTGAGCTTGCACCAGGCCGAGTAGCATAGAGCCTGGACTCGGGAGGCAGGCAGGAGCCGCTGTCTTCCGCCAGCAGGCAGAAGTCCGGGGCCCAGCCGCTCCTCTGGGTGGCAGGCAGCTACCACCGGCACACTAAGGTTCCCTGGGCAGCAGCCGTGCGTGGGGCCTCTGACGGCCAATCCACAGCCGCATTGGGCAGCAGGTGCTGCAGCCTCTGCCTCGGAGCTCTGATGGGGTCCTGGGTTACCCAGGTGTGGCTTAAACACTGCTGTGAAGCTGGGGTATAGCTGTGGGCTTGGGGTCACGAGGTCTGGCAGGTGTGTGGGGACGGGGGACAAGACGGCAGGGAGGTCTGGGGGTTGGGAAGGAGGCAGTGGTGGAGAGGACTGGGCACCCTGTGCCTAGCGAGGAAGCCAGGCGGACCCCACTCTGCCACTGGGCTTGGGGTGCCCCGGCCAGCCCCTTCCCTGGAGCCCAGCACCCCTTGTCCAGCTTCTGTCTCCACTTGGGCCACCCCACTCCTGAGTCAGGACCACCTTTATTCACGGTCACTATTTATTCTTCGTTCCTTCTTTTTGTAAGAAACAGTCACAAAAACCAGTGCAAAACCATCCGTGTGGGCGTCCTGTTTTATATTACAAAACTGCTCTTGATATAGAATATAAAAGGGGGGCTTGCACAGGAGAAAACCATGATAAATTATCTCTGCTGTCTGCTGCTAGGGACATTTACAGATTTCAAAATAGACTTTTGATGCGTGACCCACTGAGAGGGATGAGGGAGTTGGGGGCTCAGCTGGTTGGGGGATCTGGCCTGGAACCCTGGGCACAGGTGGAGAGGGGCATAGCGTGAGGCTAGATACCAGCGGGGCTCCCAGGAGGGTGCAGATCCTCTGCCCTCGCCCTCTCTAACGTGCCCCTTCTGGAGACTGGCTCTCCACAGTGCAGACACAGTGGCCTCTCCTGGCACCTTTCTGGTACCCCTGACTGCAGCTGGGCTGTAGTCCTGCCTGGCTGGGGTGGGGCGAGGTTTGGGGTCCACCGCGCAGCAGCCATTTGCCTTTCCCAGAAGCTCCACGGGCAGGTCCCATGGATCCTGGGGGTGCAGCCTCTAGGGAACACACAGCATCATTTATGGTGATGCCAGGGCTGGCTACATCTGATGAGGGGCAGGGAACAGGCAGGGAGCCCTGGTTTCTAGATTGCAACTCTTTCAGCTGGCTGGAAAGCTTGACAGGAGGCTGGATATGGGGCAGGGGGAGACGGAATGAGTTCTAGGATCTGAAGAGGGACAGCAGGTGCTGTGCTGTTTCCCCCCATGCCCATGGCAAACATCACTAATCAAATTCAAGGGGCCTGCCAGACATCATTAACCAAATTCAAGGTGCCCATCAGACATCACTAGTAAGGGTTCCACGGCCCTCTCCCACTGGGCACAGACCAAACCTCTGTGTCAGCACAACCCCCTAATCATCAGGGTGGTCTAGAGTGTGAAGCTTGTATGTTTGGGACATTGCGTGGATGACAGCCTCTGAGTCTATGGGGAAATTTCTGCCCGAGCCTGGAGGCAACACTCAAATGTCCTGTGGACAGTGAAAGGACAGGAAACTGACAGCAGGAATGGCTGAGATGCCCAAGGGTTCTTCAGCCTGCACACAAGGAGGCTGGCGGGAGTTGTCGTGTGACCTGAACACTCCAGAAAGGAGGGGCCAAATGGAAGTGTGGACAGAACCACAAACAGGAGCCTCTTCTATCTGGCGATGCCAAAGTCAGAGCAGTCCAGAGGCAGGAGGGTGCCTCAGGAGGTAGTGAGCTCTCCACCTCAGGAGGTATGCAACAAGGTGGAGAATGTGTGGCAGGAACCTCGCAGGACACGTTCAAGCCTCAGTTCTGGGTGGGGAGAAGGAGAACAAGATGATCCTGGGGGCTTCTTTCACCCTGAGAGTCAGGGAGCTGGGAAGAGACGGAGAGGGGAGCAGTGTGGACGGGGGATGTGACGCACATACGTGGGGGAGTTCGACACACAGGAGGTGGGAGGGTCACAGTGCAGACTTCCTTTGCTGGAGAGCTGGGAGGAGGCAGTTTCTGGCCAGCAGGCCACTTCTGGGGGCCCAGGACGCCGAGGCCTCGGGGCTGTGTGACAGCAATTCTGCTGGAGTCCTGGGTGGAGCGGCAGCAGCCTGGAGCCGGCTGGGGCTCTGTTCGAAGTTGCCCGCCGAGCTGTGTGAATGTGAACAGCCCCTGGCCCTCTCTGGGCCTCTTTGGCCCAGCAGATGGGAAAGCAAGAACTCTGCCAGTGGAGCTGCTCTGGATCCAGTGTCTCCACACAGCCGCCTCTCCACCCAGCCGGAAGTGGGGGCAGCTGTGCCATCCTCCCCGAGACCAGGCATGGTGCTGAGTCCTGAGCCCCTAAAGATGGGGCCACCAAGTCTCCCTCAGGGTTTGGGAGCAGTGGTTCCTTGCTGCCGGAATCCTTGCTTCCTTGGAGGCAGGGGAGGCCCAAGTCTGCCTGGGCGGGGCCCTGGCATGGTGTTCCTTTGGTCCCGGGGCAGAGGGCCTCACGGGTCAGAGCTGCGGTCCTGTCCTAAGCCCGTGGCTCCTGCCCTGGAGTCCAAGTGGGGCCATGTCCACGTTTCTGTCTTCATTTTGTTGAAAAAATCGCTCGGCGCCTGCCCTTTTCCGGGCCACCGGCTGGAGCCTCCTCTCCTCCCCGGTGAGGGGGTGGGGTGGGGGAGGGGAGGGCCGTGGGCTCCAGGCAGTGCTGGGCGGGGTGCCTCCAGGCCCCACCCTCTACTGGATGCCCCTGAAGAGGCACATGGCGAAGATCATGACAAAAAGCTGCAAGAAAGCGGGGTGACTCGTCAGGCTAGGCCCACAGTGTCTAGGTCCCTGGGAGGGGAAGAGGCCATTTGCTTCCGGTTCACAGTCCGGCAGCAAAGAGTCAAGGGTTCAAATCCATCTGCTCCCTTTACCTTCTTTGGATCTGAGCATGTATTGGGAGCTTATCAGGTGCCCGGCCCACCTCCAAGTGCTTTCCCAAAAATCTTTCTGCAGACCAGGGAGCAAGGCACAGAGAGGGTGCATAACTGGCAAAGGCCACACAGATACAAGTTGGGGAACTAGGGTTTGAGTCCAGGCGTGCTGACCACAGAGCCCATGCTCGGACCCCTGCATCCCACCTTCCAGCCCCCAGGAGGGGCTGAGATTTAAGTATCAGGCAATTATCTACCCAGGTAATGAGGCACAGCAGCTGCAACCTTCCCAGGGGTAAGAACAGAGCACCAGGGCCTTGGGGTGGGGGGAAGCAGAGACCCCGACTTGGGCTGGATTTGCGGAGTTCCCACCCCAGCCCCACCAGAGCGCTTCTGGGCGCATCGCAGATGGCTGCCCACAGCTCCGAGGTCCTGACTCCAGCCTGGGGGGTGCGTGAGGGCGGGGATCAGGTACAGCTGCCTCGCTGAGCTCAGCACGCAGCACTGGGCAGAGATTACCACGACGCCCGCCCATGAGCTGCCCACTGGCCCCGCGAGCGCACACGATCTCCCCGCCCCCGTGCAACCTGTCGGCTTCTCCTTCACAGCGGCCCTACTGGAGCCAAGTAGGCGGGGTGAGCAAGGCTGGTCTTCTGCAGCAGCCAGTTTGAGATCTCAAAGGGGCCTCCTCTCTGGCTGAGCGCCACCGCATGGTGGCTCTGAGGTCTGCAGCTGTTCAAACTTTTTTTTTTTTTTTTTTTTTTTTTTTTTTTTTGCATTTCTGGGTTTGAACCCAGGTCGGTAGCACTGAGCTACATCCCCAGCCTTTTTTATATTTTTTGAGATAGGACCTCGTTATGTTATCCAAGCTGGGTTTGAATTTGAAACCCACCTGTCTAAGGCTCCCAGAGTGCTGGGATTACAGGTGTGTGTGCACCTGCACACTTGGCTGCAGATCGCCTCTGAGGGGGCTCACGGGCCCTCGGGTGGAAGGCTAAGACCACCACTTCGAGGTTAACAAGGCCCCTCAGGCCCTGAACACCCCCACCTTTCAAGGTGCTGCCCTCCTCCCGCTCGAGATGTGAGTGGGGAGTTCGGGTAGGGTGGCTCAGGGCCTTGCTGCCCCCACTGCTGTGCGACGAAGTGTCCCCACACCTAGCCGTGTTGTCTGCAGAGTCCGGAGGGGTCCGGGTGGCAGGGCTGACAGCCCCGGGCCCACAGCAGGAACCCCCGTCCTGTCCTGGCTCAGGGAAGCGTGGAAGGGAGGTGGGCACCCCCTCCATGCGGGGCTCCCCCTTACCTCGATGGCCAGCACCCCAATGGCCAGGGCTCCTGCCAGGTAGACATAGGTTTCGAAGGTGTTGAGGATCACCGTGTAGCAACCCTGTGGGGAAGGACCCAGGTGGAGCCACGGCCGGGAGGGACTGGATGTGGGTGGCAGGTGACCCACAAACACGGCCGTCCAGGGGCGCTCACCGAAGTCCCTCCTGGGGACGCGCACAGCAGAGCAGGTGAGAGGGTCCGATAGGGGGAAAGCCAGGCTCGCAGCCCGGACTCAGGCACCTTGCACCTGTCATCTTTGCAGCATGCCACCCCCTGACCCCAGCTACTGGAGCCAGGCGCCTGCTAGGTGCTGTGGGTGAATACAGATCTCAGGGAAGAAGCTTCTTGCACGGAAAGCTGCATGTTCTCTGGGCCCAGCCAGAGGGCCTGCAAGGGACGAGGCCCTGGTGCTGGGGCAGTCACCTTGTCCTCGTTGGGTGACTCCCGATGTTTCTGACCTGCGATGCCGCTGGCCTCCCCATGTGCCCTCAGCTGGCCACCTGCCTGCCAACTGCAGCCTCAGGCCACCAGCACCACATCCGTGGGTCCCCACACTCGAGGCACTGGGAAGGCAGGGGCTCCTCCCTCTGGGTCCCGGGCCCCGGCTCCGCACTCAGAGCTCCGCGTGCACCCGGGGGTATCGCAGCGCAGCACCAAGCCTCACCCGGTCACCTGACCACGCGGGCCATGGCCAGCACCTGTCCTCCCACAGGGAGGGAGGCCCTCAGCCCGTTCCCAATGGTGGGGTGAGCTCGGCCCCTCAGAATCCAGCCAGCACATCCAAATGCACGCCGATTATGGCTCGATCTGCATGGGCTCAGAGGCAGGGCTTTGGCCCTGGGCACTGCGCCCACCCGTGTGTTCGCCTGCCACTGAGTCCAGAGCAGACCGCACCTGAGGAGGTGACCGGACGCGGTCCCAGGAGCCCACTTTTGTCCCCAGCTCCTATTTTGTCCCCTACTCCCTGGCCACCAAGATGGAGCAGCTGTCCTTCCCTGGGCCCTTCCGCCACCCCGTTTCTGTTACAAATGCGTGCTGGGCTTTGGGGACGGGCGCCTTGGAGAGGAATCAATGGGATGGCGCTCGCGAGTGTCAGGGGAGAAATCACAACCCCTCTCCTGATGGGCGCGGCCACGCAGGGGTCTCTCAGCGGGGTCTGAGTCCAGAGCCGGCCCAGGGCGGGTGGATCTGCCCACAGGAAGGCGGCTGAGCTGTGACCCCAGCTCCCTCCCAAGGATCAGAAACACCCTTGTCTTTCACACCAAATCCTCAACCCTCAACCCGTGGCCTCTCTGCTCCACAGGGCAAGTGGTCCAGGCTCTGTCTGTTGGGATACTCTGCTCTCCGAGGGGGCCCTGTCCTCTGCCAGGTCCCAAGTGGCTGCACTCCATAGAGGGCCAAGGACATGGCTCTGGTTAGGCAGATCACCTCTGCCTGCCTGGCCATCTGCAGGGGAGGCCTGTGGTGGTCCTGGGCGACTACCTGGTGGTGACGTTCTCTCTTCAAGGGGCCAGTGGAACATGGTGGACATCAGCAGCCTCTACCCCAGGACAGGGACCCTGGGGCCTTCAGCAAATGTGACAGCCCCGGCCTGCCGGGCATTTCTGGGGAATCCCACAGTGGACACTTAGGTCTTTGTCCCCTGCAGGAAGTCAGGGTCATGGGGCCAGGGGACAGAATGAATGTGGCTTTGGGGCTCCTGTGTCTCTGATGGCCCCGGGCAGGTACAGAGACAGAGGGGCCAAGTTCGTGGAGCCAAGCAGGGCGGCAATGGCATCACCAGGGCACAGGGGTCACCTCTCCTAGACCCCAGGAAGCCTGCCCCATGTGTCCCCAACTCTAGTCCTTCTCCTGTTTAATTTCCACCATGGCAGTCGATTCGCTGTGAATGGCTACTTCCTGTCTGCTGTCTGCCTCTCTTCTTCCTGTCCCCTAGTTCCTGTCCCCAGTTGGCTCTTGAGTGCCTGCAACAGCCTGACAGCGCCAGGGACCTGGGTACCGCTCAGCAGCCCCAGCCTCTGCTCCCTCCCTTCCTGCCCAACCTGATGTTGTGTATGTAACACACACACACACACACACACACACACACACACACACTCCAGGGGAGGGACCCTGCTTCTCTAACATGCAAGAAGTCAGGGTTTCCTCCAGGGCTGGGGGAACCCACAGCTTGCAAGCCAGAGCAGAGACGTGTGTGTACAGGCTTCCCTGCTGAGGTCAGGTCGGGAGACCTCGCTCCCTTCCAGACGAAGGGGTGCTCCCCCCATGGTGAAGGCGAGCGTCCTCTAAACAAGAGTGTGTGGCTAGGCAGTGTCTGTCCCCCTCCCCTGACCGCACTGTCAGCTCAGGACACACAGGAGAGCCCCTCACCCCAGCCCAGCCCCTCCAACTGCGCACCGAGCTCAGGCTCAGGCCCTGCGCAGGCACAGGGGCCCAGCTCACAGCCAGCGCCTTCCCAGGGTTCCCGAGCGAGCCGCACCTGCCTGTTGATGAACTGGCTCTGCCCCAGCAGGCAGTCCTCCCGGCCGAGCAGCACGCCGTCCCGGGCCTGGGGCTCCCTCTGGCAGCAGGCTTCTGGCACCTCCTCACTGTCCAGGGTCAGCAGGCGAAACACCGATGCCAACTTAAAGTCTTCGGGCCCGTTCACCCCACAGCAGCCAAACTGCAGGAGAGCAGGGAACAGGGCAGGGGCTGGAGCAGGGGCACCAGAGGACAGACGGCCCTCGAGAGGAGAGTCACAGAGCAGGCTTGTGCGGCTGCAGTACAGTCTCTCGGCCTCTCTCGGCCGGTAGGGCCCTCATTCACTTTTCTCATCTTCAGTGATGGTGAGGCTGCAAGCGGGCCTCACCCCACATCTGGACTGTGACTGCCCGGCCATGGCTGCCCCGGGTGCTCTGTGGATCTGCGTTCGAGCTGGTCTGGGCTCAGGGGCAAGTGCTGGGATCGACTGCGGATGTCTGGCGCGGACAGAGGAACAGGAAGTCATCCCTGGGGAGGCACTCACTGTGATCATGACGGAGTTCCAGGTGGCGGAGAAGACGTCTGTGTCATTACTGCCCTGGTAGTGCTTGGTGAGCTCCTTGGTGAAGAACTCGCGGGTCAGCTGGAGACAGAGGGGAGGTGCTGAGGCCAAAGCTCGGTGCCATCCGTCCCTGCCAGCTCCCTGTTTCTGGTGAGGTGCAGGTGACAGCGAGGGTACCAACCAGGCTGCCGTCCCTTCCCGGGGCCTGCGTCCTCCCCTCAATGTGACAAGGCCCTGCACAGAGGCCTCGCGACCTGGGTGTCGGGCCTGCTGCAGGCCCAGCTTAGGCCTGCAGTTCTGCTCAGAGGGAGGGGCATGGGTCAGGGGTGCCCATCACCCAACTCCTTCCTCTCAGCAGCTCCTCCGGGTGGAACTAGCAGATGCCTTGGGTCCTTAGTCACCTGCACCTCTCGGACACCACTCTGACGCCGGCGCCCTGGCCCTGCCTGCTGCCTTTCCTGTGATGTCCACTCGGGGGAGCCGCTGAGGTCCCGGTGGGTGGAGCCCAGAGAGGATGCTGGGCAGAGGCTCCCTGCCAGTGCTGACCCCACCCCCGTCAGCGATGGCCTCAGGGACCATCCTCAGACTCTTTGGGCTGGCACTGCAAGCTCAGTGAGATCTTGGAGGAGAGGAGGCGGCCCTGTATGGCCACCAGCCCTTTGTGGGTCATGGGAGCGGGAGAGGTGGGCTGGGACATACGTTTTCCCTGAAGATGAAGGCCAGGATGGCTGCTGACAGCTCTGCCAGGAAGATGATCAGGATGAACAGGAAGAACTGCAAAGACAGGGGCCAGCTTGTGAGCCCGGAGAGGACGGGCAGCTGCTTGAGCACATACCCTCCACCTGTCACCTGACTGAGAGATGCCCTGTCATCAATCAGGTATTTCTCAAGACAGACATCCCAGTGATCCATCTTTGGAGTCAGCAAAGTTGAAACAGAAATATGAAAGAAGTGAACGTATGAACAGTCTTTCCATAACACAGTACCTCTTAGGCCCCTTGGTGCAGTGTACAACCTGAACAACCCTACTTGGCAGTCCTAGAAAGAGGTTGCTTGTGAAATTCCTCTGGGCTCCCTCCAAGCAGATTTCCTTCTAGGAAACGGACTGTCCAGGCTGTGGGAATCTTGAGCTCTTGGGAATCCCAGGTTGGCTTTTCCCATCCTGCCAGTCCCAGGGCCATCTCTCCCTGTCCCTGTTCTGCTTCTCATGGGAATTAAGTAGGCCACATTGCCCTTCAGTTGAAGTTGAAGGAGCAAGACTGGAGGCCAGGTCGTGTGAGCATGACAACCTGAAAACCTAGGGTCTTGGAGTTTGATATCCAACCGGCAGCCCCTCTGCTCCCCTCACGGAATTCACAATGCTCCTGTCGGGCAGTCACTGGCTAGGTGGTCTCTTCCAGGAAGAACCCGGCCGCCTCTGCCTCTCATGCCACCCGGTCCAGATCTAGCTACTTCCAGTGAGAAGCCTTTCCTCACCCCCACCCCAGCCATCCCCAGCATGGTGTCCGATGAGACTTCCCCATCCGGCCTCCCTCACCGGGACGGAACTTGGCATGCGGCACACCCAGTGCATGAGACACAGTGGCTACAATCGCAGGCCGTGAGGTGCATGAGTCCGGGAGGGGGCAGCTCCCAGTGGCGACTGTGGCTTTGCTACGTGAGGGTCCCTGCTGGCAGAAGAGGAAGTCCTTTGCCTTTGTTCCTTGGCATCTGCAAAGTCTGCTATCACCCACCCGGGAGCCACCAGCAGAAGACTTGATCTCTGGTGCACACGGGGGTTCCTTCCTATGCCCTTCCCAGGCACCCAGGAAGCCTGGGGTCCCTCCTTCCTGGTCCTGTGTGACTTGGGACAATTCTTCAAACCCTTTCCTCGTCATACAATGGGGCTGTGCACCCACACCCACTTCTGGGGGGTCATGGTGTCACGACGGAAAAGTGACAAGTCAGGGGCTCAGGACCGTGCAGATGCCCTGGCTCACACCCATGTGCTGGGCACTGCCACCTCCCAGTGGTCCCCCCTTTGGTACCGGGGATCAAACTCAGGACGTTGAGCTTTCGAGGAAGGTGGTAGAACCAATGAGCTACATTCCTGCCCCCTCAGCCCCTCCCAGTGCCCTTTGTGCCACCCATGTTGCCTTCAGGAGTCTCTTCCGGTCAGAAGCTTTGTCCCTGTCCCCACCGTGGGGAGCCTCTAGACCCACCTTGACAGCGTCTGCTGTGTAGAGGTGCCTCACTGCCTGGCCAGGAAAGAACTGTGCATGGCTTTAAGGACCCTCATCCAGGACACAACACGGACACAAAACAACTCCTAGACTTGGCAACTAGGGTGTTTTTAAGATGTCCAAATCCACAGAGGCCCCACTCAGACTGATCTGAGGAACTCGGTGTGGATCTGCCCAATCCTGGTCCCAGCTCCCCCTCCAGCCAGAGTGCTGCACTTCCAGAAGGCGAGGGTGATCCCAGGCCGGCGTTGAGGACAGAAGGAAGAAGCAGCTCCTTTGCCTTCGCCTCTAGGCATCTGCAAAACCCAGGGTGGGGCGAGCATCTCCGGGATCTGGCGCAGCTGCCCCTGTAGGGTACTCATACTACATTTTGTCACCCCAAGGTCCTCACTCCCATGAGTCTGGCTGGCCTTGAATGCTGTGCCCTCTGCCTCTCCTTCCGGTGGCAGTGACGGAGCCCCTGGCAGGGGGCCTGGCACTTCCATTTATCTGGTGATGGATGGTCATCCGGCTCCAACCTCCCGGGCCGGTATCTACGAGGAGCCGCTCCCACTCTGCCCTCTCCTGGCTGCTGGCAGGTCCTCAAGCTGGCGAAGAGCAGTCCCGGAAATGGTCTTTGTCCACAGCGATGTGCCTGAGCTGGCGGGGGCTCCAAGTCACAACTGGGTCAGAGGTGAGCGATGATGGAGGCGGATTGCAAAGCTCGCGGACTCCTGCTCATGACCAAGGCGCATGCGCGACCCACGGCGCCTGGGCACCACAACACGAACATGTGAGGTGCAATCCCTAGGGTGCATGAGCGATCCCGAATGCCTGAGCGCATGTTCAAGAGAACACAACACCGGCATGGTGGGACATCTGCCCAGAAGACAGCCGCGGATCAAGGGGGATGTGGAGATCCTGGGGGCAGCTGGTGTAAACCAGCACCCATTACCCTGGCACTGTGCAGCGACCCCTCCTGGCAGCCCAGCGAGCAGCACCCCGGTCAGCAGCATCCCATTTTCTTGATGGGTCTTGGGGCTCAGAGAGGAGCAGCACGACCTCCTGGCTGGCACAGCGGGGCGACTGTCGCCCCAGGGCTGAACACAGCTTCTCAGCATCGTGTTAGCCTGGAAACCCTATGAGCTTCCGGGTCTTGGATTTCCAAACAGCCTGCTTGATCCGTTCTGGGTCAATGCCAGTCCTCTGATTTTCCATTTATCAGGTGCGCCTGAGAGCTGGGCACACAGGTAAGCAGGGTGTGTGTTTTCTCACCGGATCATGGACACAGCACTCACTGCCGCTGGCGGAGGTGCAGCTGTCTGCATTTCACACTGGAGAAATCTGAGATCCAGAGAGGTTAAGGAACCAGACCCAGGACTTCCAGCCTACATTCCAAAGCCCTTGCTCTTACCCACACTTCGGGTACCACCTCCTTTTTGTCCTTTCCATCCAGGGCAATTTGTTCAGCACACCCTTGGGGCCAGACACTGGTGAGCCTGCATTCATCTGGCTGGGCGGCTTTGCTCCGACAGTCCACACACTGAGGCCAGCCGCTGCTTGGCGGGATGTTAACACCAGCACCCAAGTGGCTGTCTCACCACGTGTGAGCTTTCCCGGGATTTCTCGCCCATCTGTCACAAGCCGCGGCTGCTTTCCGTTCTCATTTCTAATAAATATTTACCAAATTTACATATTTCACGTACAATTCAGCTTGTCTATTTTTTAAATACACTGCTTTTATGCTGTTCTCTTCCAATTTGGCACGCCTTTGTTGAAAAATATTTTTTTAAAACTAGGATCTTAAAATTAGCCAAAAAGACTCCTGGAGATACTCAGAAAGGTGATGACGGTGTGTCACTGCCACACCAGGCACCCCAGGCCAGGGTCATGAGGGGCAAGAAACCGCGCCTCCAGACAGACCAGCCGCCAGGTGATGTGGCCCTCAGCCGAGGGTCCCCAATCCTGTGGGTTCTCAGCCTTGGAGCAGGCAGCTGGGGGCGCTCAGCGAACCCTCTCCTGGCCTGAGGAGCCACCATCCCGAGGGGGCCAAAGTCCTCTCTACACCTTCCAGAGTCTGGAACCGTCCAGCTCCAGAGGACCCCGGATGGTGCTGGGGGAGACCCTGTGCCTCCTCGGCTGGAGCCACCACCATCTGACCAGCTTCAAGGCGGAAGAGAGAGAGTGGTTCTTCGGTTCTTGGGTCAGAAACTTCTTAAAATCCTTCAGCATCCACTCCCCCAGAACCCCTCTCCAATGTACCCCACACACGCAGCACTCACGAGAACATATTACATGCACACAAAACTTACACACACGTGCTGAACACACATGTGCAGTGCCACCCAGTGTGCTTGTAACGGCACACATCACATGTACAGTGTACACGCGTGCAGTATACATGCCCACACACTGAGGCCATGTCAGAATATCTGCATGTGAACTTTGGGCCCTGGGTACATTGGCGGAGGGGTGGGCTGCATAGGGCCCGGTCTGGGAGACAGGCAGGGCCCGGGATGCAGGTGACCCTGCCTCTGACCAGCACTGGGACCTCAGTCAGGCTTCATGAACTGGGCCCAGGAAGGCAGGCAGGCAGGAAGAGACGACAGAGACAGGACAGCTCAGAAGAGGGACAGGGGAAGAACAGGACAGCAACAGAGATGGAGGGGCTGGGAGACAAAGAGGGAGAGGAGGGAGGGAGAGAGAGACTAGGACACAGACAGAGTCAAAGAATATGAGGTCAAGGGAAGGACCTGCCCAGCAGCCAGGCCCTCACTGTCCCGGAGGGTGACTGTGCAGATCCTGTTCTGTCCCGGGGCCTCAGTCTCCTCCCCAGCAATGAGCAGACCGCGTCCTTCCAGCTGGCAGGCTTGCAGTGAGCACTTAGCTCGCAGAGTTGAGAGACACAGCGGCCCGGGGC